AAGAATACTCTACCCAGCCAAATTATCGATCAAGATAGATGGAGACGTAAGAGTCTTCCCAGACAAGAAAAAACTCAAAGAATACATTAGAAGAAACCAAGCCCTATAAAAGATCCTTGCCGACCCAGTATGAGCAGAAAAACAACACTCACCAAGCAAAAATAAGAGACCACCACATAGAACAACCTCACTCAGAGGGCAACAAAGAGAAAACAGACCCCACGATAACATTGGCTTAAGGATGGAAAGAAGCCAAGAATGATACACACACACGTGCACAACACACTAATGAGAAAGGAAAGTAGGAAAACTCTAAATAAAAAAGGTATAAGATGACATCACAGAGTCAGCAGATGGAGATAATAACCCTGAATATCAACGGCCTGAACTCAGGCATTAAAAGACTGAGACTAGCAGACTGGCTTAGAAAACACAACCCATCAATCTGCTGCCTACAGGAGACACGTTTCAAGACTACAAACAAAAATAGGCTGAGAATAAAGGCTGAAGAGTGTCATACCAAGCAAACAGCAATTCAAAAAAAGCAGGGGTCGGATCCTAATCTCGGATAAAATTGACCTGAAAGTGCAAACCATAAAAAGAGATAAGGAGGGACACTACATAATGCTTAATGCAATGGTAGACAAAGAACCACTAAGCATTGTAAACATATATTCCCAGAATACGTCAACCAAACACTCCAAAAGATTAAAAAAGAAATCACAGCCTAAACAATTATAGTGGGTGACTTCAGCATATCACTTTCTGAGAAAGATAGATCACAGGAAAAGAAACTTAAGGAGGCTAGAGATCCAAACACGACAATTAGACAATTTGACCTGATATTTACAGAGCTTTTCATCCAAATATAAAAAAATTCACATTCTTTTTAAGCCCACACGGCACATATACAAAGACAGACCACATGCTGGGGCATAAGGCGACTCTACATAAATTTAAGCACATTGATATCTTACAGACTTCTCTCTCTGACCATTGTG